GCGACGCGGCCCGTCCGACCAGCTGCACGGTCCCCGTGCGCTCGGCAGATCAGATCACGTCGCGGGGGGAATTGGATGTCACCATGAAAAACGAGAAACAAGATGAAGCCGAATCATGTGATAATTAATTAATCAGTTAAGAAAACCACAGTGCGCCTCTATTTGGGTGCCAAATAGAAAGATTCCATTTTTTTCCTCTCATCTGTTTGGCACTGGTGATAGTTTCTGTGACTGATATTCACATCATTTCGTGGTGTCTTCCTATTGCTTGGTTCGCTCCCTGCCATTGGATTGTAAGCAAAAGGCAAACGCTGTCAGATGGTTTCTCAAATTATCTGCCAAAGCATGATGTCTGTCACAAGATCTCTGCCCCACTTTCTTTCACTTTGACAGTTACCACCGTCAAGTTTTTTTCCCCCTCTCCTACAATTGTGCATCTTTCATCTGAGATGGTCAAAAATGAACAACGTGGAGCAGCGTTTCCGAAACTGAAGTACTGAAAGGTACTTCATGTTAAACTGCGCATAATGTTGCAGTTGCTTAAATTTTTTATTAATCCAGCACAGTACATTTACTAATATGTTAAGTTTACTTTTTAAGGATAAAACCTCTGTCACATATTTAATGAACCCTTGGGCCTACTATGCTACTGTATTTTAATTTAATATAGTAGTTGGAGTGTCAAGTATTTTTCGAGGTGCAAAACATTTGAGACCCGCCGATGTAAAAGCCTCAGTTTCTCCAAAGATCCGACAAACTAAAACGGGCCCACCTTGTAATCACATACGTTAAGATTAGAAAATTACAATGTCACTTTTCTACATTATCGCAAACACAATCAATCTTTCAGTCCGAGTTAATATATGTAAAACTGCCAAAACCGCACACAAATAAATCATATTGACGATAATCTCCTTGGTGGAAGTCATAAGAACCACTTGACCTTGCCAAAACATGCTGTTGATGTGTGAGCCACGTTCAAACCTTCCTCATCAAGCGAACAGAATTTTAACAGAACTACAGGTACAGTGATCTGAACTCTTGAACCTGCCGCATCGTACGGCTGACTCTGGGGTCCGACAGACCACCTTTGACCTTTGAAATGTGATTCAGTCTTGTGAATGCCTGTGAATAGAACTCCCACTTCAAATTGATTGTCACTATTCAGAACAGTGGTGAACTCTCAGAGGTATATCGGGCCCCTTTTCGTGAATGTAGTGCCTAACTGACGCTGAAAGGCATTAAATCCATCAACACAGACATCACCCGTCTTCCTGAAAATGCCCCAGTTGGTGTATAATATCAATTGAGACTTTCTGGACTTGGATTTACCAGCTCTGTATGAGACAGCTCCAATTCATGACCTCAAATTTATTCTTCATTCTTTTCCTGACAGATGCTTTTGTGTGATAGAGTCAACCAGCCTGGCACAATATATAGCAAGGGGGGCCCAACCATTGGACCAGCAGCCCGCGGACTGGTCCCAACTCGATCGCAAAAGATGTTGAGGGCAATGGGGGGGAGAAGTGTGTCTGCGTTTGTGTAATTAATTTTGTATATTTTTGTGTTAGTGTACACTGCACCCTAAGCATCCTATCAGTTTTACTGTCAACAAATAGTTTTAAAAATTAAATTAAATTAAAAAAGCAGGTCACCTTTAACCTATGGTGGCGCGTGACCTGCTTCACTGGAAGTTGTTTGCGGTCATTTCAAGTGCCTCTGATGAGCACTAAACATATTGTTGATGTTTGTTGAGTAAGGTCATGTTCATATTTTTACTTCTAGAAATTCAGTTTCATTGAAATGAAAAATCTTGGTCTCATTTTTTGGAACACACAAGCCTGGCATTAAAAAAAAAAAAAA